TAAAAGTAAGCAAATCGATTTTTTTTTTTTTAATCTTTGTTTCTGCATGATTGATCGAATTTTTTTACCCAACGAATTTTACGTATCGTAAAATTTGCTTAGGTTTTGGGAAGGGTGACTTACAACGGACATGGATTGGATGAGTTTGTGCCCCAAAGAACAGCAGCATACATTAGCCAAAATGATTTGCATATTGGTGAAATGACTGTGAGAGAGACTTTAGCGTATTCTGCTCGGTTCCAAGGTGTCGGCTCGCGCTACGGTACGTGAAAATCCCACTAGTTATGATTTTGTACTTTTGAAAATTTCATTTTTTTTTTCAATGTTGTACTTATTGTTGATATTTGGTTTGAACAGAGATGCTGACCGAACTGTCGAGGAGAGAGAAAGCAGCGAATATCAAACCGGATCCCGATATTGATATCTTCATGAAGGTATGAAATTTATCAATGTTCAGTATGCATTTAAATGTAAAGGGATATGATACTTCATTATGTGTTCACCAGGCATAATAGACAAAGTGTTGTTTATTGTTGACAGTTATTTTGGTGTGTGCAGTATGTCTTATTAGTTATAACAAGTTCAGTAGAAGGGAATTTTAAGATTTAATCTATGATACTTGATACCTATCTATTTATTTACCGAAAAAAAAAAAATGAAAAGAAATTTCATATCTCCATTCGAATGATTCAATAGGCAGCAGCCACCGAAGGAGATGCAGCGAATGTGGTCACGGATTATGTCCTTAAAGTTCTGGGACTCGATGTTTGCGCCGACACTTTGGTTGGAGATGAAATGATAAGGGGAATTTCGGGAGGACAGAAAAAGCGTGTCACGACAGGTAAAAAAAAAAATAGATCATAGTTTGCATTATTACAAACTGAAGTATACAACATAACATCATGTTAAATATGCATTATACTGAATTTTGTATTTTGTGAAATTGAAAAAATCACAGGAGAAATGATTGTTGGGCCATCAAAGGCACTTTTCATGGACGAGATATCGACCGGACTCGATAGCTCGACAACTTACCAAATCGTGAACATGCTTAAACAATATGTCCATATCATGAAAGGGACTGCCTTCATCTCCCTCTTGCAACCGGCACCGGAGACCTACGATTTGTTTGACGATATTGTCCTTTTGTCTGATGGACAGATTGTTTATCAAGGCCCTCGAGAGCACGTTCTTGGCTTTTTCGAGTCTATGGGCTTCAAATGCCCAGAAAGAAAAGGAGTAGCTGACTTCTTGCAAGAAGTAAGCTAAAATTCAGAAAAATAAAATAAAATAAAATAAAATGTAAAGGATTATAAAGCTTGAAATGGTTGTGATGATTAAAATTTATACAAAAAAAAAAAAAAAAAATGCAGGTCACGTCGAAGAAAGACCAGCAACAATACTGGGCACGTACACATGAGCCTTACCGGTTTGTTAAAGTCGGTGAATTCGCAACGGCTTTTCAGTCATATGCACTCGGCCAAAAAGTTTCTGAAGAACTCTCTGTCCCGTTTGATAAGACCAAAAGCCATCCTGCTGCATTGACAACTCAAAAGTACGGTCTCGGAAAGAAAGAGTTCCTCAAAGCCTGTGCCGAAAGGGAAATCTTGTTGATGAAGAGAAACTCATTTGTCTATTTCTTCAAGATTTTTCAGGCAAGTGTTAACATTTGTGATCCTCAATCCATTATGTTAGCATATTACTCATAGTTATGTACTTTTTTTGTTCAGCTTACTATAATGTCGATTTTCGCCATGACGGTCTTTTTCCGAACCGAAATGAGCAAAAACACCATAGGAGATGGAGGCATTTTTACCGGCGCTCTATTTTTCGCTGTTATTATGGTCATGTTCAACGGGATGTCAGAGCTTTCAATGACGATTTACAAACTTCCCGTTTTCTACAAGCAACGGGATATGTTCTTTTTCCCGGCTTGGGCTTACGGGCTCCCGTCTTGGCTACTCAAAATACCAGTTACCTTCATTGAAGTGGCTATATGGACTTTCCTCACATATTATGTGATCGGGTTTGATCCGAACGTATCAAGGCACGTTCTACCATAACATAACCAACCTAAAAAAATAATTAATTAACTCTTTGAAATATATTAGCATACATTTTGACTGATCAAGAGTTTTTGGTGAAAATTGCATGCAGATTTGCTATGCAGTACCTTCTGCTTTTATTCGTGCACCAGATGGCTTTATCACTGTTTAGGTTTATCGGGGCAGCTACTCGGAACATGATCGTTGCAAACACATTCGGCTTGTTTGCTATGTTGTTGCTATTCGCGTTGGGTGGCTTTGTTCTCTCACGAGGTATTACTTATTTACTTAGAGGATAATTTTCAAGTTATGTAAAAACTTTGACTATTTTCTGAACATGATTTGAATATTTTTCTCAACAGAGGATGTAAGGGGGTGGTGGATATGGGGCTATTGGGCCTCGCCGTTGATGTATGCGCAAAACGCGATTCTCGTGAATGAATTCAGAGGGCACAGTTGGAGCAGAGTGAGTCCATTGCTACATTACTTCTTTAATTTGCCTGGTTTATTTTATATATATGTCTGTATGTCACTAAACTAGATGTTTTCGATATCGTTTTTGTGTAGTTGATAAACGGAACCGAACTGGGAGTGCTTGTTATGAGGTCACGAGGGTTCTTTCCTGATTCATACTGGTACTGGCTGGGACTTGGGGCAACTGTCGGATTCGTGTTCTTGTTCAACATCTTCTACATTATTTGTCTAACAGTCCTTGGCCGTGAGTTTCTTTATTTGCATTTGAGTACTCTGCATTTATATGCTGCAGGCCAAACAACTGATGTCTTATAAACTGTTGCAGCTTTTGAGAAGCCTCAGGCAGTACTACCGGCAGCCTCCGAAGATGATGACAGCAAAAACAGATCATCGTCTGGACCATCCACAGACTCCATTGAAGGCAATGAGAACAAGAAAAGAGGAATGGTGCTTCCTTTCGAGCCACATTCCATCACGTTCGACAACATCAGATACTCAGTCGACATGCCAGCGGTATATTTTTTTAATAATTTTACTGATGAACAAAAAATGAAATGAATAAGGCTTGCTTTGGTTTGTCAATATTTTTAATGGGAAAACATTTATACAGGAAATGAAAGCTCAGGGAGTGAGTGAAGACAAACTGGAACTGTTGAAGGGAGTGAGCGGTGCATTCAGGCCGGGCGTGCTCACGGCTTTGATGGGAGTTAGTGGGGCTGGGAAGACTACTCTGATGGACGTTTTGGCGGGAAGAAAAACGGGAGGATACATCGAGGGTGATATCACCATCTCTGGGTACCCTAAAAACCAATCTACCTTTGCTAGGATTTCGGGATATTGTGAGCAAACTGATATCCATTCCCCTAATGTCACCGTTTATGAGTCCCTCGTCTACTCGGCTTGGCTCAGGCTGCCTCGTGATATCGACTCCGAAACTAGAAAGGTAAGAGAAATCAAATTAATGTTTTATTTATTTATTTTATGTTATATATTTTGATAATGAGAATTAATTTTTTTTGTCTTGTGATGAGCAGATGTTTGTTGAGGAAGTAATGGAGCTGGTGGAGCTTGGCCCGTTGAGGGGAGCACTGGTGGGGCTTCCGGGTGTGAATGGGCTCTCAACCGAGCAGCGGAAGAGGCTCACAATAGCGGTCGAGCTCGTGGCAAACCCTTCAATCATATTCATGGATGAACCGACCTCTGGACTAGATGCCAGGGCTGCTGCCATTGTCATGAGAACTGTTCGGAACACGGTCAACACAGGGAGGACTGTGGTCTGCACTATCCACCAGCCGAGCATTGACATTTTCGAGGCGTTTGATGAGGTTATAACACTACCACAAAAAAATTTTTGCTTGAGTTGTAGCCATTCACAAAACCGTTGTTTAAAGTCAGGTGGTTTTTTGCAGTTGTTTCTGATGAAGCGGGGAGGACAGGAGATATACGTGGGGCCACTGGGCCGCCACTCGACTCATCTGATCAACTACTTTGAGGGAATCGAAGGGGTGGCGAAGATTAAGGATGGTTACAATCCGGCTACATGGATGCTGGAAGTTACTACTTCAGCACAGGAGCTGTTCATGGGGTTGGACTTTACTGAACACTACAAGAAATCAGACTTGTACATGTAAGTTAACAAACATATATAGTTGTTTTTCTATATTTTTAATTATACAGACTTAAATAGTTTTGATTACTGAAATTTTGTTTTGTAGGAGAAACAAAGCTCTGATCAAGGAATTAAGCGTCCCCCGGCCTGGCACGAAAGATCTTTATTTCCCGACTAAATATTCACAATCTTTCCTCGTCCAATGCATTGCTTGCTTGTGGAAACAACACTGGTCATACTGGCGCAATCCGCCTTACACGGCTGTCAGATTCTTGTTCACTACCTTCATCGCCCTTATCTTCGGGACAATGTTTTGGGATCTTGGCCAGAGATGGTAAGTCCAAATAAATAAAAACAAATAGCTCTTTACCAAAAAAAAAAAAAATAAAACTTTTATTTTTGCTGATCATTTTGGTTGAAATGAATGTGGTGAAATTACAGGAACACCCAGCAAGATTTATTCAATGCCATGGGTTCAATGTATGCTGCTGTCAACTTCTTGGGTTTCCAATATGGTTCCACAGTACAGCCGGTTGTGGCCATCGAGAGGACCGTCTTTTACAGGGAAAAAGCAGCCGGGATGTATTCTGCTCTACCCTATGCATTCTCACAGGTTAGACACTCGACTTGCGGCCTCTACAAATATGCATGTTCGACTTTTTGTAAGTTATATCAACCATTTTGTTTTTTATTTGTCTACAGTTTCTGATTGAGATCCCGTACGTTTTCGTCCAATCCATCGTGTATGCTGTCATTGTGTACTCCATGATGGGTTTCGACTGGACAGCAGAGAAATTCTTGTGGTTCATCTATTTCTTGTTCTTCTCGTTATTGTACTTTGTCCTGTACGGCATGATGACTGTTGCCGTAACTCCTAACCACAATGTTGCCACCATCATCTCGTCCTTCTTCTATGCCTTCTGGAATTTGTTCTGCGGGTTCATCGTCCCACGACCGGTAAGCACAAGTAAAACCATACATACATACACCATAAAAATTCTAACTAATTTATTAACTGAATTTTGTTTGGCGAAAAACAGAGAATCCCGGTGTGGTGGAGGTGGTACTATTGGGCAACACCAATGGCTTATACACTCTACGGTTTCATCATCACACAATACGGTGAGGTTAGAGACGTGATGGAGGATTCGGGTCAATCGGTTGAGGAGTTCTTGAGGAACTACTTTGGGTTCAGACGAGACATGCTCGGGGTGGTCGCCGGCGTGCTCCTCGGGTTTGTGGTCCTTTTCACCTTCATATTTGCCTACTCCATCAAGACTTTCAACTTCCAGAGGAGATGAAAATAGAGTCGTATTCGGGGGTATCTTACGGTTGGCCAAACTTCGAAGACAATTCATTAAGATTTTGTATAGAAAAATCTTTGATTCTTATGTTTGTTTTGTTGTGATTGCAGTCCAGGTTTTATATATATGTTATTTGTTCATGTACTGAGTGATCTTCAATGGTTAAGAGAGAGCTCTTTGATTCTATATATATGTTGGTACGAGGATTATATTGAATAATAAGTAAGTTTTTGTTATGGATATAATATTACCAGAAACAGTGTACCTCAAATATTCAGCGATTTGCATTTGTCCCAATTAGCAACGCTGACCACATTTATACAATTCACTTTTGATATAACGACACTACATATCATTTTTAAGTTGTTTATTCCAAAATTAACATAGTCGTTCCAATTTTGGGGAAATTCTACGATCCTGTTACGGTATCATCTCGTCAGGTGTTTTAACCGTAACTACATGTAGATACAAAAAAAAAAAAAGAAAAAAAAAATGATAGGGGCAATAAAAAGGTCTCAAGATCAAGAAAGTACAATATATATATATATATATATATACATTGAATAGGGGCAGAAGATTGTCAAAATCAAGAAACAAATGTGTATATGAATAAAACAGTGGCAGAGGAATCGTCAAAATGAGGATTAAAAAAGTGTAGATAAATTTAAATAAAGGGGCAGAAGAATCGTCAAAATGAAGAAAGAAAAGTGCAGATAAATTTAAATAGGAGGCACAAGGATAGTCCAAGTCAACTCAGTAAACAAACAATGGCAAGAAAGACATCCAAAAAACCACGGAGCTCTTCTGCAAACACGCGCGCGAGTCCCCAGCCCACTTATGTTGCTTCTCCTCAGCCGGCGGAGGCGAGTGGAGGTTTTGGGTCGTTGGATGACGACGACGAGGAAATGGTTAACCCCACCACTCCAAGTGCAATGGATGGTGAGAACGTAGTACAGGGTTCGATATCAGTGACCATAACCGATCCGGAAGTTTTAAATTGTCCTATTTGCATGGAACCTTTAAGCTCCCCAGTATATCAGGTACTTGCTAAATTTTTTTATTATATGTATTTGCTTTTCGACCGATGTTTGATAACATTTTCCTCGTTAATTCCTGAATCTAAATGCATGTAGTGCGAAAATGGGCACGTCTCGTGCGGGCCATGTTGCGTCAAGATGCACAACAACTGCGGAAGCTGCAGCTGTCCCATTGGATCCTCTCGATGTCGGGCCATCGAGAGGGTCCTCGACTCGGTGCGAGTCACATGCCCCAACGCCCTGCATGGGTGCACCGAGTCCCTAGCCTACAACGAAAAGCTCAACCATGAGAGGACGTGCCACCACTCCCCCTGTTCTTGCCCCCACCCCGACTGCTCCTACACGAGCCTCCCCGCCTCAGTCTACTCCCATTTTGCCACCATTCACCCGACCTCGTCACAGTTCTTCTCCTTGGGCTCTAAGATTCATGTCTCCTTGGGGACCGAGCAGGGGCATGTTTTCCTGCAGTACGTACTAGATGACACGCTTTTTGTCCTCAGCCGCAAGTCCCTCAGCATCGGGAGCGCGGTTGCTCTCTAATGCATTGGACCCATCTCATCCGAGAGGAAATTTGTGTACAAGGTTGTGGCAGTGGATGGTGTGGGTTTTGTGAAGCTGAAGGCTCTGGCTGAGACAAGAGCGGTTTGGCTCAGGGGGCAGCTGCCCGGCAACAAGATTCTTTTCGTGCCCAAGGATTTTGTGGGTGCTGACGGGAAGCTAGAGCTGGAGGTTACCATTACTATGGTTAAGAATTACGAGCTCGATTTCAACGAGCTCGATTCCGACAGCTACTAATATTCAAGCTTGTTGGAGTTTGTTAATTTACTAGAGCTTAAATTTATGTTTGTTTTTGTTCGTTCGGTTGCTCGTTAACTTTGTGTTCGTTCGTGCTCGGCTCGTTTAGTTAAAACGAACTTATTGTAACTTTTGGAGCATTTAATTAGCTCGAATTTTTCGATTATCAAGACTTAAGAAATTCTACCGACCTACTTTTATTTTTTAATAATCACAATTAATACATAAAATTTAGCGAGTATAATACATGTCAATAAGATCCTACACACCAATTACCAAATAAAGAAGTCTAAATAAAACTAAAAATTGAACTCCAACATATTACAATTACAATTCTTAATAAACATACAATACTAACATAAAACTACATACAGTTCATGAACAAAGTCCAATACAATGAAGTATATATAATAGTTGTAACTTCTAATTTGATCAAACATCATCGGTGTTGGAGTATATTGTAGAAGCTGGCATCCAGGGGTCATGGACCGACCGCCCGTCCTCCCCTCGTACGGACGATTGCCAATCGCCGTCGACCCAAACCACTCGGTATGCCTTTAGTCAAGGTGATATTCATAGTTTATTTATTTATGCGAACATAGTTCCTTTATTTTACATTGTAGATAATGTGGTTCGATGTATCAAAAAGAAACATCACATTATCGGTGTCTTGTAAAATTTGTTCACGACCCAGATAGAATTGAACTAACTGTCGTGAAAGGTTGTAGTGTGATTTGGAGTTAGTTGATCTTTGAACAACAATTACACTGGTACATCTCGTATGTATTGAACAAACCTATAGGAGAATAAGATTATTTTATAATGTCTAAATAAATAATCTAGATCTCAGTATTTGATGTGTTCTCTTAACTCGTAAGACAATAAACAAACATATGTATCCAACACTTATTTATTTGATTTACCAATGGTGATACTTATTCTGTTAGGTTAACATACTCAGTAATTTGGTAAGTAATATTGTTTACATGATGTGCCGTTAAGATTGTTTACGGCCAATGTGTCCTGGTCCGCATAGTTGATGCATCACCGAAATGAGCTCAAGAAGAATTATTATGACAAGCCCGCCCAACAAAATAATTTTCGACATAATAATAAAGAATTGATTGGTACTATTTTCGATTCAAAAAATTGATTAATTATATTTTCAGTAATTAAATTAATCAATGAATATTATATTAATGGATGCCACCTTACGCGCGTTGTTTTGCGCCTTGCCCGCGCGGCCTTGCGCGGCTGTTTGTATGTTAGGTCGGGGATCAAAACCCCCATTCTCATCATTCCTCCCTCATCAAGGGTGTCCTTGTCCTCAAGGACACTTCAACGAACTTCAACCCAAACATCTCTTTCCCGTGTACCTAGTCGAAGTAGCCCAAAAAAATCAAAAGGAAAAGTGGTCTCTTCATCGAAATATCCTGAAAACTGGAATGGAAAAACAGGCTCTTCGTAAAAAAAACCCTGGGAATTCAAACGAGAATGTGGGTTCCTCGTCAAAAACAATCCCAGAAATTTGAATGAAAACTTTGGCTCCTTGCACTGTTCTTTGATCCGGCCTTCTCCCTTCTCGGACTCGTCTAGGCCTTCATCGGTTCCTTGTTGGTTGCACCGCTCCGCAATAGGGCTCCCATACCAAAATCGGTCAGTTGTCTCGTCCCTACAGGGCCCGGTATGACTGGTGCATGCTGGTGTGCGGTCAGTGTCCACTGATGCACGTGTGTTGACGGGCTGCGTTTGGTGCGACTCTCGGTTGATTTGCGGGGCTTGCGTCCGGTTAGTTCTCTGATATTTTTCTTCAATTGTTTGAAGGTTTGGTTTCTCTCTTTATCCCATGCCTCTAATTGATCCCTCCACTCCGAATGACTCATCAATATTTTCTTATAGTTCATGGGTATAATCAGCCCCATCAATTCACGCACCAACTCAAAAAAATTCGAAGAATTATGGTTTTTTTTTTTT